TTGCAGCCCTACACCAGTCCTCAGCCGGCTCTGAAAGAATTCAAGGCTGAAGTCTTGTTCGACCCTGGGAAATGGGTTGACGCAAGTAACTCCAATGTTTCTGTTTCACTGTTAGTGAAGTTACCATCAGGTTTTTAAGAAGCCCGATCTGATTAGGGTTAGCTTTCGATAGCATTTTGTATAGTTTTGCACTGCTAGGCAAAGACTCAACTTCCTCGCTCACAGTCGAGTGTGTGCCTGCTGTACTACCATATGTCAGAAGTGTCACTGACAAGATTGGCTAAATCTCGAAGCGAGCTTCTATTAGAACATTCTACAAGCCGCCGAAGAAGATTAGTCAGTTCTTACCATCCGTCAAGTGTCACATTCCTCTACAAGATGCAGGAGTGTACGAGTAGTTGTACAAAGCTTGATTGTGATTGTGGTCTCTCATATATAGGGCAAACAAATAGATCAATTAGAACCCGCGTAAAAGAACACATAGCTGACGTGAAGCATCAACGTTCCGGGAAGTCTGCAGTTTGCGATCATATCCTAGATGGCCCCAACCATTACATCATATTTGATAGACCACAAATCCTCTCGAAAGAACATCGATTCCTACCAAAGATTATACGTGAGGCTATTGAAATTAAAAAACATCCTAATTTCAATAGAGAAGGAGGCTGGGTACTACCACCTGCTTGGGATCCCATAATTAATAAAATTAAAACTAAACCCAAGCATACGACTGCAAGACTTCAAAACACAGTTAGTTCATTCTGCGTAGATCGGACCAAAGATAATAATTAAAAAAGCTGAAGGTACTCCGGGTTAACTTTGACATCGGGACGTCAGTCACCTCAGTCCCCCGTGACCATGGGTGCTGGAAAGCACATGAAACGTCGGGTATTAAAAATAAATAAAACGCGATAAAATCCGTAAAAGTAGTTTTAATCAATGACGTGGTATTTTAATTTCGCTTAGTAAAGAAAGTTCCCCTCTAAAACGTAGCCATGAACGAACAATGCTATCAGGCGGCGGGTCATCCCAATCGCATTCACATAACCAAAGTTGTTTAATCAAAAGCTTAGCGTATAGCACCACCGGGGCTACGAAACCCATGACATCCCATAATCTAGCAACGCATGACAGCATTGTGCGCTTTGTGCTCGTTTCTATGGGCGGGTTTACCTTAAGGCTAAATACGTCGGACTCCGGTGATCAACACAAACCGAGCACCTTGTGAGTCATCAGAATCGTCGAATTCTTTTACAGCCGAAAGGCGGTGTGATAGTGGGATTGTATCCAAAACCCTACGCGAATTACTAGTCCACTTGACGAGATCGAACTGACTCGAGGGGTTAAGATGGCCTCCTCTGCGCTATCGACCGAGTACACAAAATCATCCATATACAAACTACTCTCAATTGCCCTCCTAGCCTTAGGATAAAGGGGACCCTCATCAGCGGCGAGCTGTTTCACCGTGCGTAGCGCATGAAATGGGCTCGACTTTAAGACGAAACAAACGTGATCAAATTCAAACACCATTAGAGGTTAATTTGGGTCAAAGCGATATAAAATGCGCTGAAATCGACGGTCGCATTCACGGACCCCTATGCAAAAGAACATTTGGCGAATATCGGCGGATAATGCAATACTAAACAAACGAAAATTTGCCATTATATTAAATAAGTTGCCCTGCACATTTTGCCCACTATAGAGAATATCGTTAAGAGAAAGGTGGGTGCTAGTTCTAGCACAAGCATCGAGCACTACTCGTAACTTCGACGTAAGTTTGTCTTCCCTAATGACACCGTGATGTGGTATGAAATACTACGGCGTGTCTTCATAGTTATCTAATTTCGGAGCCGCAAGTAATATGTAACCCTCCCTTATATATTCATAAATGACACCGTCATAAGCTTCTTACAATCTGGATGAAGCGAGCATCTTGCGCTCCAAATAATAGAAACGTTTTTCTGCCATTTGACGCGAGTCACCGACAGACAAAATATCTCCTTTAAAGGGTAGCGCTACACTATATCGACCATCGCGATCACGAACAGTCGTGCGGACGTAAATTTCCTCGCCTAACCTCTCAACTGCGGATGTCCAAGACTTGGACACGAAAATATCTCCGTTGACTGCGGGCGTCCAAGTGTTAGACATTTTTTTACCCGCTCTTTTAATGAAGAAACAAAGCATTATACGCTATTTCTAACTCATTCTACCATATGTCAATGTGTACAGGATAAAAAAGGCTAGCATAAAAACCCCACAGCTTATACACTTTAGTAGTATATTTTATTTAAATCATTCTTAAATGTCGTCCGTTCCTTGAGTCAGCCATTAGTGTGATTGACGCGCGCTAACAACGAAGTTGTTTGTAATTATTTTGTATTAATTTATATTTATTGTGTGGTGAATTGTGTTAAAACAATGCCTGGGTAAGTAATCTTCTTATTTGTAATCTCATTTTGTGTTTTATCTTATTAAGTACGTGTAAAATCGTTTTTTAATATGTATGAAGCAAACTGCTATCTTAAAACTAACATGCTGGTTGAGGAAAGTTGACTTGAAATGTACGTAAAATTTTAGTGTTGACTGTCAGTTTTGTGTTAAAATATGTATAATTGTTCATCGTTCACAGTTTTAGTACATCAAAATGTGGATAAAGTGCAATATTTTCAAAATTTTAATGTATATACGCAATAGGTGCAATAGTGTCCATTTTTGAGACGTCCGTAGAAGTGAATTCTAGTCCTCTGTTTTGCGGGTGGCGAAAAAAGGAACTAAAGTTTGCCATACTGCATCAAGTTCAAATTCGGTTGAATGGTTAGAATGGTAAAGAATCTAGCGCCCTCGAGCAGAGAAATGGAGCTTGGTTGACTCCACGATTATTCGATGATTTATAAAAAATTGAATGTGGCATTTGGATATGTCATGTATGTTAACACAAGACTTCGGAATTTTTTAAACAATTTATTAAAACAGAAAGCTAGATAGTATTTACATAATGTGCTTTTTAATATTTTTATTTTAATATTTTTTAATATTTAATATTTGAAATTTTTATTTTTTTAATTTAATATGAACAGGTTGTGGTTTTTAAGGTCACCTCAGACACATATTTCTTATACTGGTTTTTTTAATGTACATTTTATCTGTATTTACTTTGCAAATCGTGTACCGTTGCGTTATGTTTCAACCTAGAGCCAGATTGCTGCTACCTACAGTACCATTCGTAAATGAATTGTACTGTAGATACAGTAAATCCAATTGTACTGTAGATACAGTAAATCCAACAAGTACCAGGAGCCTTTTAAAGAAATAAGTACCTATGTTACATATTTATTCAATTTTATACTTATGGATGGATGGCCATTTAGTTTTTATTGTTGCCTAGCTATAATTTGTTCAGCTAATTATTTCAGACTATCATCGTTGAAATTGTTAAGTTAGTTAAGTTACACAGCCTATTTACGTCCCACTGCTGGGCCTTCTCTCACTTCTGAAAAGGTTTTAGGGCAAAGAAGTGTCCGCCGCGCTGCCCATATGCGTGTTGGCGAACTGCACATGCCTTGGAAATATTTTTTTTTATTTCTCAGACAGACTTCCTCATGATGTTTTTCTTCACCGCCGAGCAAAGGTAAATCAGCACTTAAAATGGTAATTAATAATTTCATTGATGCCGGTGGGGATCGAACCCGGTGTGCTAGCGTACTGTGAAATTTAACGCGAGAGCTAACAATCTGAGCTACCAGGGCTCTCTCATCGTCGAAATGAATACTTAAGTTAGTTAAGTTACAGCCTTTTTACGCCCCACAGCTGGGCAAAGGCAAAGAAGTTTCCGTCGCGCTGCCCCAATGCGTGTTGGCGAACTTCACATGTCTTCGAAATATTTTTTTTTCTTATTTCACAGACGTGCAGGTTTCCTCACAATGTCTTTCTTCACCGCCGAGCACGTGGTAGATCAGCACTTAATATTGCAATTAACAGTTTCATTATTGCTAGCGGGGATCGAACCCGACTTGCTAGCGTACTATGAAATTTACAGCGAGAGCTAACCATCTGAGCTACCACGGCTCTTCCGAGTCACCACGGATCTCATCGTTAAAATGAATACACCTCTTTATTTTGTATGTTTTTTTTTCTATAGGATAGGGTGACAAACGAGCACGCAGTCCACCTGTGGTGGTTTCTGCGGCCCATAGACATCTACATCTATCCTCGATTACAAATCAAAATGCAAAAACGCCTCGTTTCCAGCAAAAAGGCTCTCCGGTTCTCTACACTCACCATACGAAACACAGAAGCATTAAGCTATTATTTCACGCTGGTATTCTGTGAGAGCGTGGTCCTTCCCCGGTCGAGCCTGCCTATTCGTGCTACAACTATACTACTAATATAACTGCAGGATGGCTCTACCACGTATAAAAAATGTTTTAATGAACTAGTACATGATGCACAAAAAAGTGCAGAATCGAACTTTAATTGTGGCATATTTTTGTATAATGCATAAGAAGTGGGTTCTTTAAAAATATACATAAATAATATTTTTTTTTATTTCAGAAAGAGATATATTTATTTAATATTTTATTATTTCATAGCTATTGTTTGTGTTAAAGGAAATATGTTACCGTTTGGAGAAATAATGTTATTGGTTATTGAAAATATAACATAACCGCTGCGCACCTCGCGGCGCCTCTGTCACTCGATACATATTATGGTGCATTGGGTATTGTTTACAAAAAACGTTATTTATAACTCTACATCAGCGGGAGTGACTCTTGAGTGGTTTTATGGTTTTTAAAGGAATGAATGAATCTTTATTTCTGTACAAGTGCTGTTAAAGTTTGTTTGCTCAAATAAAGTAATTAATTTTTCAATAAATATGGCACTTACGACTAAAATTATGATATCGGCATTAAGAGTACTTATGAAATACTTTATCGGATTTCTAAAACTTAGCAAGACCTATTGAAAGATGACTGAATCATGTAAAGAAAAAGAGATATTCAAGACTGAATCATTGTAATGAAATAAAAAAAAAACTATTTTTATTGACTAAAGCATTACGCCGCATTATGCCGCATCTGGTCTGAACTACATGCTACATCGGTGTAAATTGATTGTGGGTTCTTGTAAGCTTATTATTAATGCTTTTTACGATAAAAATTGTATTGTTGCCTATGATTTTGCACATAAAATATTGTAAACAATAGACGTAAGATTAAAATAAAATAAAATTGAACTATTAAAAAACTTAGTGTCATTGAGAAATATGATAGTTTTGACTTTATTCTATATTTAGTTATACTAACCACTTTAAACTTTATTAAATATATGTACTAGTTTATAGGAAATTTCATAGAGAATTCAGAAATGTATACATATTATAGTATTCAATATACCAAAATCAAGATATTTGCGTTTAAACGGATTGGGCCCAATCAGCCGTCCATTTTATTAAACAGCTCCGCACTCAACGGAGAATTACGGTTAGTCTCCGCAGCTGAAAGGATAATCTATCATGCGAGCTAATTATAGGCGGAAAGTTCACCTTCTCCATCTACCAAAATTTGTGAACTAACGATTCGAGCGGTTCGACAGCCATACAACAATAGGAGGTTGCCGAAATATTATCCATGATGGGGGTGGAACCAACGATGACGTAGCCCAAGACGGTCTCCAGTGCGTAAGGCGCGGTATACGAGGAGTTGCCCCTGACCTTATTGTGTAACAAAAGATTAGGGAAAACAGATGCTCCAACGAGCATGTCAGTATTTCCGGGGACGGCGTAAGTATCGTCTGCCAGAGTTAAATTATCAAAATTAATCATTGCTGCACCTTATTGCACCTTATCTACTACTAATGCATTTATATTAAAGTTAATACTACGATCGAGACGTGAATAAAATTTTAAATTTATAGAACCTTGTATATTCTTATTGGTACATCCAATGCCTTTTACTACGGGACAAGAAGGTGTCTTATTCACTAACAATTCTAAATGCTGACAACATTGCCGTGTTACGAAACTACTCTGCGATGCACTGTCTAGTAATGCACGAACACTCTGTTCGTTTTCATGCGAATTTCTAACTACGATGCGGGCTGTACCCAGTAACACGGTGGAAGGAGACCGCGTTCCCACGTTCGACAATAAGCACAGGGCGACGTCACTCGGTCGACCGTTAGAAGCGTCGATCACTAAGGTAAGGGTGGAGTTTCACTGTCAGATTTATTTAACGTGGATATGTTGCCACTCTCAAAATGCAATAACGTATGGTGTCTGCTGTGGCACTTGTTACACACGAAACTAGAGTTCCATTTAGCGACTAGATGTCTATCGCTTAGACAATTTAAACAAAAGTTGTTCGTCTTTACTATTTTATAACGTTCGCTTGGTGAATGTTTACGTAAGGTCGCACAATTACACAAATTACCGTGTTGGTTATTCTTACATAGAAAACAGGTGCTATGAGGCGATGCAGGCGCAGCGCTTACATACCTCAGAGACCTAGCTGTCCTAGTTGATGAGATCGGTCAGCGCTCGACGCATTTCTTCATTTCTTGTTTGACATTCGAGGAACGCTGTATTACTTTAAATTGATCTCATACAAAGGAAGCCAAAGATTCGAATGACTGTAACTCAGAGCTACGATGCTCCATTTCAAACGCACGCACGGTGGCCCGGTCTAGCTTCTTTAATGCGATATGTAGAAACACAAATTCCATAAGGGCATTAAATTTAAGATATTTGAGCGCAGCTTATGTTATGAATTTATCCAAAAACTGCTCTAAGGCAGTGATGTTCGCGGATGATATAACTTTAAGATCGAATATCTGGTCTAGAGATGATTATTATTATTATTTACGGTAAGTGTTTTCACTTCTCAGCTCTAGGCTGGATTTCAACTCCATTTACGGGCCGAAGCCAAAGCAAATGCAGCGTGTGGTGTGTAGTGTAGTTCATGTGATTTGATGAGGTCCTATTTCGTTTTCTTCTATCTGCATGAATTTCCTAACTATTCTGCATGTATTTAATATAGCTGCTTTTTGAAGTGTAATATATAGAGTTTCTTTTAGTTGTAATAATTTTAAGCTACGGAGGAGATGATTTGGGATGACACCTGTTGTGGAGAGGACTATAGGGACCACATATACTTTTTCTTGTTGCCAGATTCTAGTCACTTCATCTTTAAGTTCTGCGTACTTACAGATTTTTTCAGTTATCGTCTTCTGCAAGTTGTGTGTGTTGGGGACTGCAATGTCTATCAGGTAAGTAATATTATTTATTTTATCTTGTAGAATTATATCTGGTCGGTTATAGTAGATTGTTCTATCGGTGAGAATGCCGCGGTCGTAAAAAAGTTTATGTGTGGTGTTTTCTAGAGTATGTTTTGGTGTATAATTGTAGTAAGGAGTGTTGGCATCTGGAATGAGTGCGTGTTTGAGTGCTAGTTTTTGATGAATGACATTGGCCACCTGATTGTGTCTGTGAGTGTAGTCAGTCTGTGTGAGAGTTGTGCATGCGCCTGTGATGTGTTGAATGGTTTCTGGATGTGTGTGGCATTTGCGACATTTGTCATTATTTACTGTAGGATCTTTGATTATATATTTTCTGTAATTTTTTGTGTTTATGATCTGGTCTTGAATAGCTATTATAAATCCTTCTGTTTCTGGAAATAAGTTGCCTATTTTCAGCCACTTATTTGAAGCTAACTTATTTATGTGGGATTGCTCTAAGTCATGAGGGTGCCGACCGTGGAGAACTTTCTTCTTCCATTCGTCAATTTTGTGTGTCTGTGTACGTAACTAGTAGTGTTTTGGGATTCAATCTGATTGCTTAAGTTAAGTGGAGTGTAGTTAATATCATTCGTTACGATGGCTTTATGAATATTGCTAGTATGGGATTTTGTATAGAAGAATGATTTTAATCGACTAACTTGTTTCCGCCATAGGTGCTGGATATCCACTAGGCCTCTCCCTCCATGTTCTCGTTTTATTGTTAGTCTCTCTATGGCGGATTTAGGGTGTAGATTATTGTGTTTCGTGAGTGTTGTACGTGTAGTTCGCTCTAATTGTTCTGCATCAGTTTTGGACCATTTTATAACTCCGAATGAGTACGTTAATATGGGGATAGCATAGGTGTTAATGGCTTTGATGAGATGTCTACTTGAAAGTTGAGTTTTACAAACGGCGTTAAGTCTTCTCTTGTATTCCGTAGTGAGAGAATTTTTAATTCGTACGTGGTCAAGACTTTTAAGTTGGACATACCCTAAATATTTGTACAAGTCAGTCGATTCCATTGCTGTAATAGCCTCCGTTTCATTTACCACATAGTCGCCGGGCCTTACTTTGCCTCTTACAATGTGAAGTGTTTTACATTTATCTAAACCAAAATGCATATTAATATCGCTACTGAATTCTGTTGTTATATCTATTAATTTCTTCATATCCTTGTCTGTTTTTGCATATAATTTGATGTCGTCCATGTATATAAGATGCGATATTGTTGTTTCGTTTGTATTAAGTTTGAGGCAATATCCGGCCCCGCAGCTCTGCAGCAAATGAGACACAGGGTTTAGGGCGAGACAGAACCACAATGGGCTCAGGGAGTCACCTTGGTAGATGCCTTTTGTGATTGAGATTTGTCGCGTGGTGACAGTATTTTGGTTACAATTTATTTGTAGTGTTGTTTTCCATTGTAACATTATTCGGCGTAAGAAATCGATTATTTTCGGATTTATTCTATAAATTTCTAATATTTTTAATAACCATGAATGAGGAACACTGTCAAACGCTTTTTTTATAATCAATATAGGTGCAATGTAAATTTCTATTTTTAGAGGTGGCGTGTTTATGAATAGTGGAATCAATTATCAGCTGTTCTTTACATGGCCCTGTCTACTTCCCTTCTGTTCTTCTGCTATTATATTGTGGTGTTCAATGTGCGACTGAATTTTCTTTGTGATAGCAGATGTCAATATTTTGTAAATTGTGGGTAGGCATGTAATTGGTCGGTATTGGGAAGGCTGAGGTGAATTTTTTGTTTTAGGTAGCATATAAGTAATTCCTGTTGCAATAAATTCGGGAGTGTTCTGTTGTCCTGTTATTATATCTGTTAAATTTCTTGCTAAAGGTTTGTGTAGAGACGTTAATTTTTTGTACCAAAAAATATGAATTTTGTCTATACCAGGTGATTTCCAATTATGTAACCTAGCTGTAATGAGTGTTATGTCTAACTCTGTTACCTCTTCGAATTCCATTTCGTCAATATCTCTCCATTTTGCTTCCTCTTCAATTATCCAAGATGCTTTGTCGTTATGTTGTTTTTGCTCTTCCCAAATACTCGCCCAATATGCTTCTAGTTGTTCTTTTATAGGTAGGTTAGGTGTATGTGTGTTACGTTCATCGATTATGTCTGTTTGTGGTTTGTGTAAGTTTCTATAAAACAATTTTTCGTTTGTGGCAAATCTGACGTTATCTTTTTTGCGCTGTTGTGCTTTTTTATACCTTTTGAGCCTATGAACTTTAAGTGCTAATTTTTGTTTTAACGTGTCTAAAAATTCTTCAGGTCTTGTGTTACTTTTTTCGTGTCTGGTATGCGTAGCATTATTCCTAAATATAACCTCTACTTTTTTGACTAGTTTATTAGATCTACAACCGTTAATATACTGAGTGAGTCTACCTATGTTTGCTCTTAATTTTTCAATGTCTTTTTCTAGTCTCTGTTGCCATGCTGGTTCTGTATTTTGTCTTGTTCTTGTAGTTCTTGCATTGTCTGTGATTTTAAAGTTCAATTCTTCGGATATTACTATCGCTGTGCAGTATATAAGTAAATGTATGTCTATAAGTTGTGTGTCATCAGATATATATTGTGTGAGTATAGTTTCATTAAATAAATTAACCAGTCGAAACAGGTTAGGTGTGTACTTAAGTTTAGGTAATCTTGGTCGCGCTGCGGGATCCATCCCAGAGTATAACGTTATTGTTGTTCTAAATTTCTCATTGATTTCTTGGATATATGTATCTGTTGTTAAGTGTTGATCTGGGACAACTATGGTCTCAATATCATTTTCTAGCGTTAGGATTACGGTTTCGGTTTGTGTGGATGTGTGTGATATTTGTGAATCGTCGCATGGTTGAGATTGTGTATAAATTGAGTTGTGATTGACTGAGCAATTGTGGTTGTACTTGGCGATCATTTTCACTTGTGTTTTGTGTGATATTAGTTTCTACATAGCTGTTAGTCGCTTCTTCTTGAATTAATTGTGTTCGTACTTCTTCTTTTAATTGATCTATAACTTCTTGGGATAGAAGTTTATTCCTAACTATGGTTCTTCTTTGGTCTGAGATTCTTTGTTCTGAAACAGTAATTTCTGGATATTGTCGAGTGAAATGTGCGTGTAATTGTTGTCTGTACGTGGTCATATCGGTCTCTAATTTAGTAATGTATAGATAAGTTCTCATGATAAATAGATTTACTTCTTTACTCCATTTCATTCGAACTCTTGCTTTTCCAGCCTTGGTGGACGCGGGTAAGAAGGTAGATACCTCCCGCGCAGCACTCAAGGTCGGAGTAGGTGGAACTGTATTTAAACTAGTAATAGGGGGTGATGGAGGTGTTGGTGACGATGGTATGGATGGTGATGTTGGCCTCGAGGGTGTGTATGATACTGTGCTTGGACTATATGGTTCTACAGGGGTGTCTGTCCTGTCCGTCAGTCTGTCACCATCGTCAATGAGTTCGGCTGTAGTATCTTTGTGGGTGGGAGCCCGCCTGTTCAACTCCTCACCGCTGACGGATCGCATGCTGTGACACCCAGCGTCAGCTCCAGGTGCACCCCGGCGATCGCCCCCGGGTAGCGGCCCTATACGTTTACTTTTAGAACGAGTCTCCATTTTATTTATGGGTTTCCAGAGCCACGTTAGCCACGCCAGTAATTTCTCATTCGTGTGTCCGCCCCCCACGTGATTAGATGGTCAATCAGGACGTGTGGTTGTTTAGGGGGCTTATTATTATTATTATTATGTGTGGGGTATCTATATAGTTTTCTCATCTGGTTGGGATGTATAAATATATAATTATAAACGAAAATGAAAGGATAAATATACATAAATATCAATAAAATAAAATAAATACAAAAATACATAAATAAATAAAAGCCCAACCAGATGGAAGCCCTCGGCAGGGGAGACCAAACGGCCAAGGGTTAGGAAGAAAGGGAAAGAATCCGGCGGACGATGCGGGCAGTATCAAGGAGCACCGCCTTCTGCATTTGAGCCCGGAGCGGTCCGTCACGGAGTCCCAGTCGCCTCAGATGACCAGAGAGGCTAACTGGGATTAGCCCATTCGCAGAGACGACTACAGGAATAATTTCGGCCGGCAGACCACCCCACATGTCCGTCACCTCGTGAGCCAGGTCCAGATATTTTGATTGCTTATCTGTTTCGGCTCTCACGAGGTTCTCGTCATACGGGATGGTAATATCGACCAAAAATATCCTTGACTGTGCCCGGTCCATCAGCACAATATCAGGCTTATTCGCAAGAATAGTCCTGTCTGTGATGATGGCCCGGTCCCAGTAGAGTCTGGCGCGGTCATTTTCGAGCACGGCTTCCGGCAAGTACTTGTAATACGGCAATTTCCGGTCCACGAGACCGTATTTCAGAGCGAGCTCCTGGTGTAGAATTCTGGCTACTAGGTTATGCCTGTGCAAGTACTCAGAGTTAGAAAGCGCCGAACAACCGGAGATGACATGCCTAAGTGACTCCCCCGGGATGGCGACAAGCTCGACAGACGTCGACGGTGCCATCCTTTAGGATGTATCTCCGATAGTTGTTGGTCTTAATAACCTGATCCTGTATTGCACAGACAAAACCCCCGTAATGACGGAGGCTGCACACTTCACGATTACGCATGGTGAGCGCGCTCAGAAAGCCACGCCTACCATGCTTTCGCGGCAAGTACATCCTCGACGATCTCGGATGATGCATTCTATGGGACGTCATGGTAGTGCGGACTTTTCTATCCAGGGCGTTAAGTTCAGTCTGAGTCCACCTGAGTATGCCAAAGGTATACATAAGGACAGGCATGACCCAACCGTTATATGCGTGTGTCTTATTCACACCGGACAAAAGGCTATTAAGCACTTTGCTCAAGCGTGCATAAAACACGTCGCAAACTGACTGTTTCATACCAGCCTCATCGACACCGATGTTCTGTGACATACCCAGGTATCGGTATGTTTCAGCCTCGGAAAGGGTCTTTAAGTTAACGGGAATAGATAAATCTATGCCCTCAGAGTTAGCAACCCTGCTCCCCAGCTCCATTCCAATGGAATTTCTAAATTCACAAGTGATTTTTAGCAATTCCATAAGATGGGAGCGACTGGAGGCGAATAACTTGAGGTCATCCATATAGAAAAGGTGGATCACTTTTTGTCCCTCCTTTCCGTAGCTGAAATCCCCCTCCCGGAGCCCTCCAGTAAGGTACTAAGAGGGTTCAGAGAGAGGCAGAACTAGATTGGACTCAGACAATCGCCCTGGAAGATACCCCTTCTTATTCTTATGTGGTTCTCCGCAGCCATTATCCGCTCACCCAGATGACAAAGGATCGTACTCCACTGTCCCATACACTGCTCGAGGAAGTCTCTCCCTGTACAGTCTATCTTGTACAGCTTGAGGACTCTCTTTAGCCATGTATGGGGCACTGAGTCGAATGCCTTTCTGTAGTCTATCCAGGCGGCGGAGAAGTTCCGACTGTTGCGTTTCACCACTTTGCCTATGACCGCGTCAATGAGGCGTGGTTCCTTAGTTCCACGACCACCGCCCCGACATCTATTTTGAGCGCGTGACATTACCTGATTTAGCTCCAGGTGACGAGTGATTCTCGCGCTCAAAATGGATGTCAGTGTCTTATATATGGTGGGTAGACACGTAATGGGACAGTATTTGTTCGGGTCTGTGGTAACCTGGTCTTTAGGAACCAAATGAGTGATCCCAGAAGTGAAGAGGCTAGGGAGTGACTTCTGGTCGAGAGCCTCTTGAAACTGACGGGCGAGCACAGTGTGACACACCACGAACCCCTTCAGCCAGTAGTGATGCAGCCCGTCGAGTCCTGGACTTTTCCAGTTCGGGGCCCTACGGACCGCCTCAGCCACGTCTTCCGGCGTTATGTTGATGGGGTCCATAGGCATAACACTCGCACCCTGGCACGCCACAACATCCATCCAAGGGCCCTCGCTGTGGTTTACGGGCTCTGACCACAGGCCACGCCAGAATGCGATAATGTCAGCCTGATCCGGTCCTTGGCCCGCTCCACATACCTTTGGTCGCTCCAATGATTTATAAAGCCTCTTTTGATCACTCTGGAAGAGAAGATTCTGGTTGAACCGTGTCGACCTCTCGGTATATCGCCGAATTCGCTTTCCCCAAGCAGCGATTCTCTGCTTCAGGTCGTCTATGCGCTCCGTTAGTTTCTGCGTGATATCCGGCTGGGACAAACTGATATTTGTCCCAGCAAACGCCACCCTAACGGTGCGCACAATCCTCGGTCTATTATTACCCAACCTGAAGCTTGTTAGTCTGCCGATAAGGGCCCTTGCCTTTGCGATTAGGTCCTCGATTCTTTTTCTCCAGGGTGGGATGGCGCTACTTTGTGTAGTAGCGCGTCCAGCCATGGGAAGTTTGGCGCCAATAATACGGCAAACTGCCACTGCGGCGCCAAAGAGAATTGAGTCCGTCTCGCAAAGGTCCCGGCTGGCTTCCAAATAGGTCACCAGCATTGGGTTAAGAGCCTTCACAACAGCCCGATTTCGCTTGCTTGCTTGATTTTCGAGTGGGGTGCTGCGCGTTTCCAAAATCGCCTCTACCAATATACTCCTCATTTGCTCTAGTTCGTGGGAGACTATTTCATCGTCGTTCGAATCAACCACAACTGGAAGTTCCATGGCGGCTTCCACGTGTGGATGCTGGTCTGTCGAATGTGGTGCTGCTTCTCCAGCCATAGCCGATTCATTCGACGATGGAATAGCCTCACGTCGTAGTCGTTCGAGTTCGGCATCATCAAATATTTTCGAGCGCATGATGTACCGAACTCGGTCTGCCAGGTTTTGTTCCGTGACGGGGATAGAAGGCTCCAGCTCAGCAAAAAAGCAATGCATCCGAGCCCTATACGCTATTCCCACAGTTTCTTCCCCTTTCGCCCTATAGTACGCCCGCAATGCGTTTTCGTTCATAGATTTTGTTCAACGCATGCGACGTACTCCACCAGCGGCGGGTGCCGCTTGCTGAGTCCAGATCCAGTCAATACCAAGCCTTCTGGTGGGGATGAAGGATGCGAGGGGCTGCTAGGTGATCATGAAGCTCCTCGCGCTCGGCTGGCGGCCCGCATGCTGCCGCGTCCAGCGCCAGCTCCAGACGCGCCCCGGCGACGTTGCGGAACGCGCCTATGCGCGTTCCTTTCTGTGCCATAATCCATTTTATGGGCGCCAAATAACGGGAGACGCCCAAGCCCGGCACCGTTTCGTGGTTAGGTCATATGCACATACGGACCTTTGCACCCACAATTTTGCCTAGGCACGGCGCTCACACCTCTTGGCAGGATGCTTACTGACTGCGCCGACGTAGCAGTTTTGTCACATAAATGTTACGTCAGCGGGCGATGGGGTCGTCACTTCCCTACGCCTTTTTTATTATTATTATTATTATTTATATTTTCTACGTTTTCTCAGTTTGTTTTTAACAAAACTGGATTAATACCACAGGACAAAGCTAAGTGGATACCATGAACTTGTTTGGTTATGGGTAGTTTTCTGTAGAGATAAATTTTCTAACTATTCTACAAGTATTAAGTAAAACTGCTTTTTACAATTGAATATATGTTAGTTTTGGTAAATCTAAAGTTTTTAATGATTGATGAAGCGCTTTTGGTATTACACCAGTTGTAGAGAGGACTATAGGGACTATAATGGCGTTATGCAAATTCCACATTCTAATAATTTCATGTTTTAATTCAGTGTACTTGGAAATTTTTTCATTAATTGTTGTCTGTAAGTTATGTTAGTTAGGTATAGCAATGTCAATAATAAGAGCACATTTATTCGCTTTATCTATTAATGTTATATCCGGTCTATTAAAGTGTTTTGAGTTGTTTTGAGTTTTATCATTAAGTATAGCTCTGTCAAAATACATTTTGTGAGTGGTATTTTCAAGGACTATTTCTGGTTTATATTTATAGTATACTTGAGTTGGCTGGTCAGTTAATTTATACTTAAAGGCAAGTTTTTGGTGAATGATATTGGCTACTTGATCATGCTGATACTTATAGTCCGTCTGAACAATCGCTTTACAGGCACCAGTGATGTGTTGAATTGTTTCTGAAGCATTACAACAGCGTCTACATGTGTCTCTATGATTTGGTCCTGAATTGCGCACATAAAACCCTCAGTCTCAGGGAAAAGCTCACCACGTTGAAGCCATGCGTTCGACGCTAATTTGTCTACGATAGGTTGGTTCAAATCATGAGGATGTCTTCCATGTAGAGACTTTTGGGTCCATATGTCAATTTTTGTGTTGTTATCTATAAGTAACTCATTTTTTTGCAATGTTTTATCATGCATATTAAGCGGTGTCAATTTATGATCATTCTGTACTATGGCATTGTGTAGTGATGATATTGCTGTTTTATCATAAAAGTAATTTCTGAGTGTAGTTACTTGTCTGTTATGTAAGTTAACTATGTCTATTACACCTCTTCCTCCTTCATTTCGTGGCAATGTCAGTCTTTGTATGCATGATCTTGGATGGTGTTTACGTTGCCTCGTAAGAGATGTATTTATTTCGCGTTGTAGCTTTTTTAGTTCAGTTTTGGACCAGTGTATTATGCCAAAGGAATAAGTTAGTATGGGAATTGCAAATGTTTAATATCTTTAAATATATTTTTAGAATTTAATTGAGATGTTAATACTAAGCGAAGTCTATATCGAAACTGATCTGTTAATGTATTTTTAATTTCTTTGTGATGTATTTGTTTAGACTGATTATATCCTAAATACTTATACACTCCATTTTCCTCTAAAGATTTGATTTGCTGTCCTGTTTGCAACTGATAGTTATGTTCATAATACTGTCCAGCTCTTACTGAATTAAATGTTGCACTTATTAATACCAAATTCCATTCCAATATCTCGTGAAAATTTTTCCGTTAATATAACTAATTGATCTAATTCATCTTGAGTAGTAGCATAGAGCTTTAGATCGTCCATATACAAAAGATGACTATGTTTTTTTTCTTCTTTGTTAGTATGTAAATGATCTTGTGTTATATGGTATTGTAAAGAGTACCCTATGTTTTTTGAGTTTAACATTTGTGATAAGGGGTTTATTGCAAGGCAGAACCAGAGAGGACTAAGTGCATCCCCTTGAAAAATACCTGTTCTTATTGCAATAATATCTGTTTCTATCATTCCATCTAGTGAGTTAATTTTAAGTTTCGTTGTCCAATTGGTCATCGCAGCCTCTAAAAATTGTATTATGTTTGGGTGCATTTTGTACATTTCTAAAATTTTTAATAACCAAGTGTGCGGTATTGAGTCATAAGCTTTCTTATAATCAATATACATGATAAACAAATCTTTTCTTTTTGATTGTACCTGCTTTAATACTACTGCATCTATTGTGAGCTGTTCTTTGCAACCCTGACTAAATTTCCTACAACCCCTTTTGTTCTTCTGACAATATGTTATTAGCTTCTATGTGTTCATAAATGGTTTCGGTTAAGCAAGATGTAATTATTTTGTACAATGTTTGTAAACATGTGATAGGTCTATATTTTGCAGGATTGTCAAGATCTTTTGGCTTGATCAAGGCTCTTTTGGTATCATATACGTTATTCCTGAATTAATGTATTGCGGCAAAGTATGCGGGCTTTGTATGAATTTATTAACAAAATTAAACAGAATCGGGTGGATAGTTGTAAACTTTTTATACCAATAGTTAGTGCCCGGATGACCGAGCTTTGCTCGGTTTTTTTAAGTTACATTTATATACAAATTACATGAATAATAGTTTTTGATCTTATTGACATAATAGAAAAAACTGAACTGGTTATTTGAATAAAAAATCATGAGTGCAATTAGATTTATTAAAAAATTCGTATTTTTAAAAAATACCGAAAAAAAGGCTCGAAATAATAGATTTTCTCACAAAAGAAGGGAATTTAAAAAAAAAAGGAAAAAAAGTCGAACTCAAGACGGGACGCGAACCACGGAACACCGATGTCACGCCCGAACAACATCCCATCTGAGCTATTACGATCGTTAGTAACCTGTCAAAATTTACCTTCTAAGCAGTTTCCTTATTGCCTGAAAACACGGACAAAGGGACATTTTCTAAAAATAAATCCTAGCTAGATCGATTTATTGCCCCCGAAACTCTCTGGACACTAAATTTTATGAAAATCGTTGGAGCCGTTTCCGAGATTCCGATTATATATATATATATATATATATATATATATATATATATATATTAATTATTTTATGGAAAGTGTCTATCTTGATGTGTTGTAATTGCATGGCTTTAATCTGTGATGTGTCTATTTGATTTTTGATCCAATCCGCTTCTGTATTATAATGTTTAGGTTCCTCCCATATTGTAGACCTTTGAACTTTGTAATTCTCTAGGTGATGGTACGATATTATTTTCGGAGCGTTTCAAACTGCTGATTTTATTGTTAAAAGGATTTTTTTTATTACGGTAGAAAAGTTTTTCATTTGAGCAAAATAAAATGTTTTGAGTTTTTCGTAGAGAGCATGCTCTATATCTTTTAACCGACTACTAGTAAGTTTCAGTTTTTGTTTAAGTGTGTCTAAAAATGTTCGTGTGTGTTATGTTCTTCGTGGACAGAATGAATTTTATGTTGTTCGATTATAGAATTTACGTGTTTGATTAATTTTTGACCTCTGTTTCCATTAATATATTGTGTTAGCCTTGCAATTTTTGCTCTTAATTCACTTACTTTGTTTTCTAATCTTTGTTCCCAATTTGGCTTATTATATTTCTTTTGTTTCTCAGGTTATTATTATTATGATTATTATGGGGTATCTATATAGTTTTCTCATCTGGTTGGGTTCTATAAATATATAATTATAAATGAAAATGAAAAGATAAATATACATAAATATCAATAACATAAAATAAATATAAAAGTACATAAATAAATAAAAGCCCAACCAGATGGAGGCCCTCGGCAGGGGAGACCAAACGGCCGAGGGTTAGGGGGAAAGGGAAAGAAACCGGCGGACGATGCGGGCGGTATCGAGGAACACCGCCTTCTGCATTTGAACCTGGAGCGGTCCGCCACGTAGTCCCAGCCGCCTCAGATGACCCGAGAGGCTGACTGGGATTAGCCCGTTTGCAGAGACGACTACAGGAATAATTTCGGTCGGCAGACTACCCCACATGTCGGTCACCTCGTGAGCCAGGTCCAGATATTTTGTTTGCTTGTCTGTTTCGGCTTTCACGAGGTTCTCGTCATACGGAATGGTAATGTCGACCAAAAATATCCTTGACTGTGCCCGGTCCATCAGCACAATATCAGGCTTATTCGCAAGAATAGTCCTGTCTGTGATGATGGCCCGGTCCCAATAGAGCCTGGCGCGATCATTTTCGAGCACGGCTTCCGGCAAGTACTTGTAATACGGCAATTTCCGATCCACGAGACCGTATTTCAGAGCGAGCTCCTGGTGTAGAATTCTGGCTACTAGGTTGTGCCTGTGCAAGTACTCAGAGTTAGAAAGCGCCGAACAACCGGAGATAACATGCCTAAGTGACTCACCGGGATGGCGACAAGCTCGACAGATGTCGACGGTGCCATCCTTTAGGATGTATCTCCGATAGTTGTTGGTCTTAATAACCTGATCCTGTATTGCACAGACAAAACCCTCGGTTTCCCCCGAAGAGATCACCAAAGCGTAGCCAGTGGAGGGAGGCTACTGTGTCTACGAAAGGCTCATGTAGAGCCTTGTAGAACCTCCCGTGGAGCTCCTTCTCCTTCCATACGGTCTCCCGGTCGGAAATACTCTGCACTGCCGGGTCTTGCCATTGCTCGTTGGCTAAGGATAGAGGGGTTAGTCCTTTATCACAAGTAATCACGGAGGCTGCACACTTCGCGATTATGCATGGTGAGCGCGCTCAAGAAGCCACGACCACCATGCTTCCGCGACAAGTACAGCCTCATTACCGACGATCTCGGATGATGCATCCTATGGGACGTCATGGTAGTGCGTACTTTTCTACCTAGGCGTTAAGTTCAGTCTGAGTCCACCTGAGTATGCCAAAGGTATACATGAGGACAGGCATGACCCAGCCGTTATATGCGTGTGCCTTATTCACACCGGACAAAAGGCTGTTAAGCACTTTGGTCAAGCGTGCATAAAACACGTCGCAAACTGACTGTTTCATACCAGTCTCATCGATACCGATGTTTTGTGACATACCCAGGTATCGGTATGTTTCAGCCTCGGAAAGGGTCCTTAAGTTGACGGGCATAGATAAGTCTACGCCCTCAGAGTTAGCAACCCTTCCCCTTTCAACATGGAGGACCGCACACTTATCCGTCCCAAGCTCCATTCCAATGGAATTGCTAAATTCACAAGTGATGTTTAGCAATTCCATAAGATGGGAGCGACTGGAGGCAAATAACTTGAGGTCATCCATATAGAAAAGGTGGGTCACTTTTGTCCCTTCTTTCCGTAGCTGAAATCCCCTCCCGGAGCCCTCCAGTAAGGTACTGAGAGGGTTCAGAGAGAGGCAGAACCAGATTGGACTCAGACAATCGCCCTGGAAGATACCCCTTCTTATCCTTATGGGGTTCTCCGCAGCCATCATCCGCTCGCCCAGATGACAAAGGATCGTACTCCACTGCCCCATACACTGCTCGAGGAAGTCTGTAACTGTACAGTCTACCTTGTACAGCTCGAGGACTCTCTTTAGCCATGTATGGGGCACCGAGTCGAATGCCTTTCTGTAGTCTATCCAGGCGGCGGAGAAGTTCCGACGGTTGCGTTTCACCACTTTGCCAATGACCGCGTCAATGAGGAGTGGTTTCTTGGTTCCACGACCACCGCCCCGACATCCATTTTGAGCGCGCGACATCACCTGATTTGAGTCCAGGTGACAAGTGATTCTCGCGCTCAAAATGGATGTTAGTGTCTTGTATATGGTCGGTAGACACGTGATGGGGCGGTATTTGCTCGGGTCTGTGGTACCCTGGTCTTTAGGAACCAAATGAGTGATCCCAGTAGTGAAGAGGCTTGGGAGCGACTTCTGGTTGAGAGCCTCTTGAAACTGTCGGGCGAGCACAGAGTGACACACCATGAACCCCTTCAGCCAGTAGTGATGCAGCCCGTCAAGCCCCGGACTTTTCCAGTTCGGGGCCCTACGGACCGCCTCAGCTACGTCATCCGGCGTTATGATGACGGGGTCCATGGGCGTAATACCCGCACACTGACTCGCCACAACTTCCGCCCAAGGGCCCTCGCTGTGGTTTACGGGCTCTGACCACAGGCCGCGCCAGAATGCTACAGTGTCGGCCTGATTCGGTGCTGGACCCGTTCCACTTACCATTGGTCGCTCCAATGATTCATAGAGCCTCTTCTGATCACTCTGGAAGAGACGATTCTGGTTGAACCGTGTCGACCTGTCGGTATATCGCCGAATCCTCTTTCCCCAAGCAGCGATTCTCTGCTTCAGATCATCTATGCGCTCCGTCAGTTTTTGCGTTATATCCGGCTGGGACAAACTGACATTTGTCCCAGCAAACGCCATCCTGACGGTGCGAACAATTCTTGGCCTGTTGTTGCCTGATCTGAAGCATATCAGTCTGCCGATGAGAGCTCTAGCCTTTGCGATACGTTCCTCAATTCTTCTTCTCCATGCTGGGATAGCGCTACTATGGCCAGTAGCGCGTCCAGCCGTGGAAACTTTGGCGCCTATGATACGGCAGACTGCCAGCTCGGCGCCAAAAAGAATTGAGTCCGTCTCGCAAAGGTCCCGGCTGGCTTCCAAATAGGTCACCAGCATTGGGTTCAGAGCCCTCACGACAGCCCGATTCCGCTTGCTTAGGGCTATGCGGGGAAGTCGCGGTCGATTTTCGAGAGGCCTACTGCGCGTTTCCACAATCGCCTCTTCCAATGTACTCCTCATATGCTCTAATTCCAGTTCCTGGGTGACTGTTCCATCATCGCTTGAATCAACCAAAACTGGGGTATTCACGGCGGCATCCACGTTTGCCGGTTGCTTTACCATTTGTTGCGCCGCATCCTCAGCCGTAGCATTCTCATCCGACGAGGGAACAGCCTCACGTCGTAGCCGTTCGAGTTCGGCGACATCAAATATATTTGAGCGCAAGATATACCGAACTCGGTCTGACAGGTTTTGCTCTGTGACGGTTAAAGATGGCTCCAGCTCAGCAAAAAGACGATGCATCCTAGCCCGATACGCCCAACATCCAGTTTCTCCCCCTTTCGCCCTAAAATACGCCCGCAATGCGTTGCTGTTCATCTGGGTTGTCCAACGCATGCGGCGTACTCCACCAGAGGCGGGTGCCAATTGCTGGGCCCGCGAAGACCCTGCCGACACCAAGCCAGCTGGTGGGGATGATGGATGCGAGGGGCTGCTGGGTGGTCGTGCAGCACCTCGCGCTCGGCTGGCGGTTCGCACGCTGCTGCGTCCAGCGCCAGCTCCAGACGCGCCCTGGCGACCTCCAGGCAGCGGCCCTTTGCGCGTTCTATTTAATTCCATCATCTTTTATTATTATTATTATTATTATTATTATGGGGTATCTATATAGTTTTCTCATCTGGTTGGGTTCTATAAATATATAATTATAAATGAAAATGAAAAAATAAATATACATAAATATCAATAACATAAAATAATATAAAAGTACATAAATAAATAAAAGCCCAACCAGATGGAGGCCCTCGGCAGGGGGAGACCAAACGGCCGAGGGTTATTATTTTTGGGGTATCTGTATAGTTTTCTCATCTGGTTGGTTTCTATAAATATATAATTATAAATTAAAATGAAAAGATAAATATACATAAATATCAATAAAATAAAATAAATACAAAAAATACACAAATAAATAAAGATCCAACCAGATGGAAGCCTTCGGCAGGGGAGACCAAACGGCCGAGGGTTAGGGGGAAAGGGAAAGAAACCGGCGGACGATGCGGGCGGTATCGAGGAGCACCGCCTTCTGCATTTGAACCTGGAGCGGTCCGCCACGTAGTTCCAGCCGCCTCAGATGACCCGAGAGGCTGACTGGGATTAGCCCGTTTGCAGAGACGACTACAGGAATAATTTCGGTCGGCAGACCACCCCACATGTCGGTCACCTCGTGAGCCAGGTCCAGATATTTTGTTTGCTTGTCTGTTTCGGCTTTCACGAGGTTCTCATCATACGGAATGGTAATGTCGACCAAAAATATCCTTGACTGTGCCCGGTCCATCAGCACAATATCAGGCTTATTCGCAAGAATAGTCCTGTCTGTGATGATGGCCCGGTCCCAATAGAGCCTGGCGCGATCATTTTCGAGCACGGCTTCCGGCAAGTACTTGTAGTACGGCAATTTCCGGTCCACGAGACCGTATTTCAGAGCGAGCTCCTGGTGTAGAATTCTGGCTACTAGGTTGTGCCTGTGCAAGTACTCAGAGTTAGAAAGCGCCGAACAACCGGAGATAACATTATTATTATTATTATTATTATATATTATTATTATTATTTTTGGGGTATCTGTATAGTTTTCTCATCTGGTTGGTTTCTATAAATATATAATTATAAATTAAAATGAAAAGATAAATATACATAAATATCAATAAAATAAAATAAATACAAAAAATACACAAATAAATAAAGATCCAACCAAATGGAAGCCTTCGGCAGGGGAGACCAAACGGCCGAGGGTTAGGGGGAAAGGGAAAGAAACCGACGGACGATGCGGGCGGTATCGAGGACCACTGCCTTCTGCATTTGAGCCCGGAGCGGTCCGTCACGGAGTCCCAGTCGCCTCAGATGACCCGAGAGGCTGACTGGGATTAGCCCGTTTGCAGAGACGACTACAGGAATAATTTCGGTCGGCAGACCACGCCACATGTCGGTCACCTCGTGAGCCAGGTCCAGATATTTTGTTTGCTTATCTGTTTCGGCTTTCACGAGGTTCTCGTCATACGGAATGGTAATGTCGACCAAAAATATCCTTGACTGTGCCCGGTCCATCAGCACAATATCAGGCTTATTTGCAAGAATAGTCCTGTCTGTGATGATGGCCCGGTCCCAGTAGAGCCTGGCGCGGTCATTTTCGAGCACGGCTTCCGGCAAGTACTTGTAATACGGCAATTTCCGGTCCACGAGACCGTATTTCAGAGCGAGCGCCTGGTATAGAATTCTGGCTACTAGGTTGTGCCTGTGCAAGTACTCAGAGTTAGAAAGCGCCGAACAACCGGAGATGACATGTCTAAGTGACTCCCCGGGATGGCGACAAGCTCGACAGACGTCGACGGTGCCATCCTTTAGGATGTATCTCCGATAGTTGTTGGTCTTAATAACCTGATCCTGTATTGCACAGACAAAACCCTCGGTTTCCCCCGAAGAGGTTACCGAAACGTAGCCAGTTGAGGGAGGCGACTGTATCTACGAAGGGCTCATGTAGAACCCTGTAGTACCTCCCGTGGAGCTCCTTCTCCTTCCATACGGTCTCCCGGTCGGAAATGCTAAGCACTGCTGGGTCCTGCCATTGCTCGTTGGCCAAGGATAGAGGGGTAAGCCCTTTATCACTAGAAATGACGTCATTATAGAATGGATCATCCGATCTCGCCAGGAAGTAATGACGGAGGCTGCACACTTCACGATTATGCATAGTGAGCGCGCTTAGAAAGCCACGCCCACCATGCTTTCGCGGCAAGTACAGCCTCATTACCGACGATCTCGGATGATGCATCCTATGGGACGTCATGGTAGTGCGGACTTTTCTATCCAGGGCGTTAAGTTCAGTCTGAGTCCACCTGAGTATGCCAAAGGTATACATAAGGACAGGCATGACCCAACCGTTATATGCGTGTGTCTTATTCACACCGGACAAAAGGCTATTAAGCACTTTGCTCAAGCGTGCATAAAACACGTCGCAAACTGACTGTTTCACACCAGCCTCATCGATACCGATGTTCTGTGACATACCCAGGTATCGGTATGTTTCAGCCTCGGAAAGGGTCCTTAAGTTGACGGGCATAGATAAATCTATGCCCTCAGAGTTAGCAACCCTTCCCCTCTCAACATGGAGGACCGCACACTTATCCGTCCCCAGCTCCATTCCAATGGAACTGCTAAACTCACAAGTGATTTTTAGCAATTCCACAAGATGGGAGCGACTGGAGGCGAATAACTTAAGGTCATCCATATAGAAAAGGTGGGTCACTTTTGTCCCTCCTTTCCGTAGCTGAAATCCTCTCCCGGATCCCTCCAGTAAGATACTGAGAGGGTTCAGGGAGAGGCAGAACCAGATTGGACTCAGACAATCGCCCTGGAAGATACCCCTTCTTATCCTTATGTGGTTCTCCGCAGCCATCATCCGCTCACCCAGATGACAAAGGATCGTACTCCACTGCCCCATACACTGCTCGAGGAAGTCTCTCACTGTACAGTCTATCTTGTACAGCTCGAGGACTCTCTTTAGCCATGTATGGGGCACCGAGTCGAATGCCTTTCTGTAGTCTATCCAGGCGGCGGAGAAGTTCCGACGGTTGCGTTTCACCACTTTGCCAATGACCGCGTCAATGAGGAGTGGTTCCTTAGTTCCACGACCACCGCCCCGACATCCATTTTGAGCGCGTGACATTACCTGATTTAGCTCCAGGTGACGAGTGATTCTCGCGCTCAAAATGGATCTCAGTGTCTTATATATGGTGGGTAGACACGTAATGGGGCAGTATTTGTTCGGGTCTGTGGTAACCTGGTCTTTAGGAACCAAATGAGTGATCCCAGAAGTGAAGAGGCTAGGGAGCGATTTCTGGTCGAGAGCCTCTTGAAACTGACGGGCGAGCACAGCGTGACACACCATGAACCCCTTCAGCCAGTAGTGATACAGCCCGTCGAGTCCCGGACTTTTCCAGTTCGGGGCCCTACGGACCGCCTCAGCCACGTCTTCCGGCGTTATGGTGATGGGGTCCATAGGCGTAATACTCGCACACTGACTCGCCACAACTTCCGTCCAAGGGCCCTCGCTGTGGTTTACGGGCTCTGACCACAGGCCACGCCAAAATGCGACAGTGTTAGCCTGATCCGGTCCTGGGCCCGCTCCACATACCTCTGGTCGCTCCAATGATTTGTAGAGCCTCTTCTGATCACTCTGGAAGAGACGATTCTGGTTGAACCGCCTTGACCTCTCGGTAAATCGGCGAATCCGCTTCCCCCAAGCGGCAATCTTTTGCTTCAGGTCGTCTATGCGCTCCGTTAGTTTCTGCGTGATATCCGGCTGGGACAAACTGATATTTGTCCCAGCAAACGCCATTCTAACGGTGCGCACAACCCTCGGTCTATTATTACCCGACCTGAAGCTTATCAGTCTGCCGATAAGGGCTCTTGCCTTTGCGATACGGTCCTCAATTCTTTTTCTCCAGGCTGGGATGGCGCTACTTTGTTTAGTAGCGCGTCCAGCCATGGGAAGTTTGGCGCCAATAATACGGCAAGCTGCCACTGCGGCGCCAAAAAGAACTGAGTCCGTCTCGCAAAGGTCCCGGCTGGCTTCCAAATAGGTTACCAGCATTGGGTTAAGAGCCCTCACGACAGCCCGATTTCGCTTGCTTAGGGGTATGCGGGGAAGTCGCGGTCGATTTTCGAGAGGCATGCTGCGCGTTTCTAAAATCGCCTCTTCCAATATACTCCTCATTTGCTCTAGTTCGTGGGAGACCATTTCATCATCGTCTGAATCACCCACAACTGGAAGATCCATGGCGGCTTCTACTCGTGGCAGCTGGTCTGTCGCCTGAGGAGCTCTCATCCCCAGCCGTAGCCAATTCATTCGATGAGGGAATGGCCTCACGTCGTAGTCGTTCGAGCTCGGCATCATCGAATATTTTCGAGCGCATGATGTACCGAACTCGGTCTGCCAGGTTTTGTTCCGTGACGGGAATAGACGGCTCCAGCTCAGCAAAAAAGCAATGCATCCGAGCCCGATACGCTATCCCCGCAGTTTCTTCCCCTTTCGCCCTATAGTACGCCCGCATTGCGTTTGCGTTCATATCCCTTGTCCAACGCATGCGGCGCACTCCACCAGCGGCGGATGCCGCTTGCCGAGTCCGAGAGGACCCTGCCGACATCAAGCCGTCTGGTGGGGATGATGGATGCGGGGGGCTGTTAGGTGATCTTGCAGCTCCTCGCGCTCGGCTGGCGGCCCGCATGCTGCCGCGTCCAGCGCCAGCTCCAGACGCGCCCCGGCGACCCCCAGGCAGCGGCCCTATACGTTTTCCATTCTTATCCATCATCCATTTTTGGGCGTCAATTAGCGGGAGACGCCCAGGCCCGGCACCGTTTTATTGTATCATTGTACGGCCGTAAGCACAAACGGGCCTTTGCACCCTGAGTACTGCCGAGGCACGGCGCTCACACCTCTTGGCAAGGCTGACTGACTGCACCGACGTAGCAGTTTTGTCACTTAACTGTTTCGTCAACGGGCGATGGGGTCGTCACTTCCCTACGCCTTATTATTATTATTATTATTATTATTATTATTTTCGTATTTGTTTTTAGGCTTTTCGAAAATTAACAAATAATTGTTTGCTGTTGGTGTGACCCGAACAAATGGACTGTGCCCTACCACTTAACTTACTAATTAAATAATACAATCTTTCATCGTCCGATAACGATGGATTGTTATGTATAGTGTTTTGAAAGCTATTAATGAACAACGGCCAAGTTTTAATATCCCCATTAAATACCGGGACATCTATAGAGGGCAATTTAAGTGATTCACGTGGGCGTACCTGAATTTCTGGTTTTACTTCGCTCTGGGCTGGAGACTGTAAGAGCTTTGCCGTCCTTTTTATGCGACACAACATATCTTCAAACGATAGAAGTGGTAATTCACTGTATACTTAGGGTCGATTTGTAATTCTAAACTATTAATTTTGTCTAATATATGCTCGTAATCCGATCTCAAGGAGTCCACTGTTTCAATTTTACATAAAAAGGTTTCCCGCACTGAATCTACGTTAATATTTTTTATGTGATCACTTATGTATTGCATACGTGAAGAAAGTACGTCCTTATTGGCGTAAAGAGTTTTAAATTTAATTTCAATTCAACTAATTGACATCTTGAATCACTCTAATTAATATTAAATTATCACGAACAATATCGTACAACGTTGGAAGACGAAAGTTTCACAATACGTTACTGTCTATTAGTGCCGTATCACTTTGTAATTATTATTTTTTCAAAAAAAAAAAAATTGAACACTTTGTCACTATTATTTTTTCTTGTGCTTGAAGGTAGGTTGCTAAAAATGTGATAATATACGCGGCGTATAATATACATAGCAGGCGCGGCTAGGTAGGAATTTAGAATGCGTTACTTGTATAAATGTTACGAATAGCGAGGTAAGGTAAACAGAAAACTACAGCGGATCAATCTAAATGAATAAATAAGCGTCTATTTACCTATGCGAATAAAGCTAGCTACAAATAAATTTCAATTTAAACATTCAACTTAATGGTGATATTAAATGAAGTTAAATCTATCCAATACTACACGAGAGTGTATTGTCCAAGGAATTGGTTCAGCAGTTCGACTCGATGAGATCACAGGGCATCAGTTCCAAATCCGGCTCGAAGGACCAGAAAATGATTGAGCGACGGGCCTAGGGGTTCCCGAGTTCGATTCCCAGGTCCGGTTTTGACCCTATTGTGCGAGATGTTACTAGGTGAAATGTGTACGCGGGCTTCTGATGCCTCAAAACAAGATGGCTGACATGGCACGCAACAGCCTTGGACAATGCACTCGCTCTTCCAAAATCTATTGCTTCACCAAGGTCGAGAGGAAGTTCTACTTGAGCCGGAGAGAGAAAATGGGACGGGTTAACTAATAAAACAAAAAAAGCTCAAGTATGTAAAACAGATAAAAAGGGAAACGCACTTACCGGGGTGGAGTCCTGATGCCGCTGACGTCGCTACTGTTCTGGTGGTGCGTTGGAAGAGGGCGCTCGAAGGCTGCGCGTGAGCCTTTATTGGGTCGGCCATCCCATATTCTACCTCATCTCGGTGGGATGCGCATTTTTATTGGCTGAATAATCGCGGCACCTTTTAGACTCCCCCCCCCCTTAGTGCGTACGGAAGGGATATGAGGATGCAGGAAGGACGGACCCTTGGCGAGCAATATACCCCCGAACAAAATTATAAAAATAAACGATTAATTTTCGCGTAACCAGACACAGTTCGGGAAAAAGTGTGTGGCAGAAGTAGGAAGAAGTTTTAAATTTGCTGCTTCAATATTAGATTTAAGTTTTATTGGTCTAGCGTTGTTTTTTAAAAGACATGTATTAAAATCACCAATAATAATACTGTGACAATGGATGTGTGTAAGATTGTCAAGAATATTTTTTAACGTGGTGAAGTAGTCGACAGTGAGAGAGGGGCTGTAAATGACTCCGAGAAATAATTTTGTATGACCGAGAAGAACTTCTATAAGGATTAATTCAGCTTTGCTTCCAGTCTGCGAACCATTTGAAACTTGAATTACTGATAAAGGTATATGAGAGCACAGATAAATAGTAACACCACCACCGCCCCCATCGGTACGGTCGTTACGAATCAAATGAAAACCTGGAAGCATGTAGGATGTTGATGGAAGACATGGTTCCATCAACATCCTACATGCTTCCACATGACTCCGAAACAAGGATAGCGTGTATGTTTTTGTTATTAAAACTTGACAACATAGGGTAATGAGCAGGAATACTTTGAGCATTTATGTGAATAGCGTTAAAGTTTTTGCTAAATTCAGAAAAAGTTCAATCTAACATAATATTTAAGGGTGCAATGCTTCCAAAGCTGACAATACTGTTTAATCCATCAGAGGCAGTATCAAAGGTGAAGGAATTGGAACTCCGAACACTATCATCTGAAGAGATCATATTAATTTATACCTGATTACTAAATATATGTAAAAATAAGTAAATATGTATAAAATAAATAATTCAAAAATAAATAAGTCATCAGTAAACTACCTGCCAGCATTATGGAAAGAAATGTATAATTCACTTAACAATAAGTGAAGAAACGGAACGTTAACAGCTTAGCTAGTTTAGTAGAACGTTAACAGCTTAGTAGCTTATTTTTTATAGAATAGGGTGACAAACGAGCACACAGTCCACCTGATGGTAAGTAGTTGCTGCGGCCCATAGACATCTACATCTATCCTCCATTAAAATCAAAATGCAGATGCGTTGTCACCCGTGAGGACTGAGATGGAATGCCTCGTTTCCAGTACAAAGGGACTCCGGTTCTCTACACTCACCATACGAAATACAGCAGCATTAAGCTACTATTTCACGCTGGTATTCTGTTAGAGTGTGGTCCTTCCCCGGTCGAGCCGACCCATTCGTGCTACAACTATACTACTAATATAACTGCAGCATGGCTCTACCACGTAAAAACGCTTAGTTTAGCTAGCTTAGTATTCCTTCAAGGAACTTTTCGTGTTAAGGTCTTGGTTTTGACAAGATAACTGTCCTCGAAGGCTTCACGGATACCTACGGTAACTGTCTCCGTTGCTAACTCCAGACCTTCAATCGTTTTGATGCTTTTAGGAAACGTTTCCAAATTCCTCCTTAGGCAATCTCTGTAGATATCCCAGGAGGTCGCTTTTGGATCCCTTAAAGCAACGGTTTCATATGTTGGTGATTCTCCAATCATAAACTTAATGTGTTTGTGATTGGAGGAGGAGAAGATATCGAGTTTTCACTACTAATATGGCTGTCTTTTATCAGCCTGGACATGTTATTGGTAGCAAAGGTTATGTCTAACACTTCTTGCCTAGCACGCGTAATAAAGGTTGGTGTACACCCTAAGTTTAGGCTTACCAGGCAGTTGGAGATGAGAGAAAATCATAAAGTAACTCACCTCTTTCGTTAATGTTAGTGTTTCCCCAGGCTGTGTCGTGAACATTAGCTTCACAACCTACCACAAGTTCGGCGTTGCGTTTTCGGCTGAACTCCGCCACTCGCTCTAACTCGATGGTAGGATCTTAGTCCCCTCCGGAAAGATAGGCTAAGCAAATGATTACTCTGGCCCCTGTACATCCCTTGAGATTTATGAAGCCTGCAACCAGGTTATCATTGCAGTACTCTGGACAGCTAAAAGTTCAATATTTTATTGTAAATTATACAATCTCTGGGTCTACTGTCTTTAGTATTGTTACGAGCTTGAGGTTCGTGACAATAAAAATTGCCGATAAAATTACCTAAATTAACACTTTAATTTACTTTACACAATTAAAGTTAAAACACTAATAATTTAAACACACTAATTCACTTAATTCCACTCCGAAGCTTCGCTTGTGTCGCCGAGTTCACTCTGCTGCGATCGCATCTTGCAGCGCCTATATATTTGAATTAGCAAAGAAATATCCAGAATGTTCAAGTAAACACGCGGAAGGTACCGAGCGTTCGAGTTTCGACTAGGCGCTGTCAGTTGAGCGATTTGTGATGTCATTTTCTCAATGCTCCCCTCGCTCTCGTTCCTGACACTAGATGGCGCTAGTGTATCGTTGACTGGAGCGCGTAACACTGCCCCCTCCTAAGACATGCTCGTCCCGAGCATTATCGGCCCCATAATAACGCGCCAAGCGATTCACATGGACGATCTTAGGAGTCCCTCTTGCGCCTTTCTGTAACGGCTCCGCAATGTCAAGGGCTGTCCTATCCCGTGGTGCACCAACATTGTACAATTTCGGTGCTCCTCTACTACGTGTCCGAGGTCCCCGCTCGGCCGCACAACTTGTACATGTACGACACCAATCCTCGACATCGTCACGATAATGGACCCAGTAAAACTGTTCTCGGACCTTCAG